TCACCTTCCCATTTTTACATTTACATCAACCAAGGTGTCTTTTGCCTTACAGTTGCATTAAGTACAAGACAAAAGATATCTTGTTATAGAACAAGGTAAAGGTCTGGGGAAATGCTGAAACATATGAGGTCATTTTTGGAGCTTTAAAATGAAGTTAGATATATAAATGAAAGCTACAATTACAAATGTTAAAGTAAAACTGATGGTTCACACTTAAAATTATCTCATATTTATGTTTCCCTTGTTTTCTCTTGTAGTTGCCTAGGGGTGTATTACTGGGTGTGTCAAAAAGGGACTGCAGTACATGTACTACTAGGCAGTCAGTCAGTTATGGTCACTGAATTTCATATCAAATACCACATGGCTCTCCCTATTGGCCCTAAAAGGGGAGTTCACTTTAGTTTGTTGGTGCTGGATCAGCACCTTTGAGTAGGTAGAGCAGCGTGAGACCAGATGCTGTCCTCTGCCTCCCACTGGCAACAAATTGTTGGTACCTCCACCCTGCCATGCCACATCTGACCTGCTCAGAGTTCCTTACCCATGTTCTGGAATAACCCATTGGTCAGTGCATGTTTCATGTCCCCTTTTGGTTTTGAATGTGAGTCTGTTACAGCTACCAGCTAAAGAGCCTGACTTTGTAATTCAAAGCTGTAAAGGCTCATGTTTTTAGCTCGAGGTCCCCCGTTCAATTCCCAGTGTGTTAGCCAAGATGACTGCCACACTGGGTTTCACCTATAACGCGGTAAGATTTTTTGGTTTCCGAGGACAGCGTTATATCGGGGTAGAGATGTAAACAAAACTCTGTACAACTGTTCATGAGTCATGTACCCAGAGTATTCAGATTCTAATACCTAAACTGTATTGTTAAATCTATTCACCTAAATTTGGGTTATTGCTGATTATGTACTCTATGTATCACATGACTTTTAAAAACTAACTTTGTATTTGTGGCTAATCTAAGCACTATACCCAGATGTACAGACAATCTTTTCCCAACCTATATATTATATAATTTTTTTAAAAAATAGCTTTAATAAATATTTTAAATACTTCACTGAGTTTGCACCATTTCACCATTATGTTGTAATTTTATATTTATTTATTAGCACATGTTGTTCTTTCTGTTTATTTACCATTGTGTGATGGATTATTGTTCATCTGTTCTTGGAGCTTGGAATGCTAAATTAGAACAGTCACTGCACCGGCCATGGAATCCAAGAGCAGCCAAAGTGGCTTTCTGTTCTGAGCACAGTTTGGCTGGACTGGAGAATCTGGGCTTTAAGGCTGAGCCTGGGTAAGAACTTCAGGATTTAGCCTGACATCTCTATAGAGAGAAAATGTTTCTTTGTGAAATATTTACTATTCCAGTCCTGAGAATAACACTAATGCTTGATGAAACTCTGATCCAGCTAAGAGCCTCAGCTGCTGACATCATAAACTGTTTTCCCGAGAAAAGAGGAGTGTGAGAGCTTCAATGGAATAATGCAATGGCAGTGGAATTCTGAGATCCATTTATTTCTTGGGTGTTTAGTCTTAGATTAACTATCAGTGCTTGGAAGATCGTCCCCAGCTGTACAGTAAGAATGGCAGACTCATGAAACCACTGGGGAAGAACAGTTTTCCTTGTAGGTGCTGAGGCAGGAGAAGAAAGCTTATTGAAACATGAAGGCTAGAGGAGGGTTTGGTGGAGGAGTTTTTCTTACTAATGGTAATGGCTGTGACTGGGGGGGGGGGGGACAGGGATGAGCTATTGAACCTGGAGGGAAGGGCTATTGAATTTACTACTCAAAAAAAATCCTGTTGCCTGTGTAGGGAAGAGGAGATTACAGAGCACGTGACGCAGGGGGAGCAGGAGGAGGATTTTCTTTGGATATGACGTACCAAAAGGATTATTGGACCTGTGACATAGTAGAAAGCAGATTACAAGGAACATTAAGAAGCCTTTCATGGCAGTAATACAATATAGGCATTGCATCATCAGGATCCTAGAGACCTTAGGTCTCTAGTGATCTCAGTCTGCTAAGAGGTGTTTTAAAGAAATATAAAGAATTAAGGAGAGTGACAGTGCTTTAACAAGACAAATGTTTGCCTCGCAGATGCCCCGCATCAGCGAAGATTAAACTGTGTGAGGATGGTGCTGTGTCAGTACCGGAAGAATGTGGAGATGAGCAAATCGACTGTCACAGATGATTTGACAAATTCTGATTTGCTTGTAGGAAAATGTCTGTTAATCCTATTAGGGAGGGAGAGACAGAGCGAGTGAAAGTCAGTTACTTGGAGCAGCTAGAAAAGTTCGGATCACAGGTGGATTTGATTTATTTTCACGCGTGTTTTTTGTTCTTCCGATGCTATTCATCAAAATCCCTGTAATTTCAGATGTTCGATCAAAGAATCGGTTCCTCTGAACTTCTCCAGCAGGTGCAGGAGTTGTGTACCGCCAGCCACTCCCTCAGGAGATGTCCGCTCTGGCTAAAGAGGAATAGCATTCTTCCATTCTTCCCGTTCTCAGCCTAGAGGGAGGGAGAGGGAAAGCGGACCTCTTTCCCTTTGCGCGCTTGGGAAACGTTTGTTTTAACCCTCCTTCCCCAGTGTACGGCTGTTCCACCGGCAAGAACTGATTTAGAACCACTACTATGGCCTGAGATGGAGACACATTAGTTCTAATGTACATGTTTATTTCTATACGCACAGGGCGGTGGGATGCATTTTACCCTATTTAAGGCTAGTTTTCAGTATCAAATGTTATCTACATCTGACTTTCAACGTGGGAGTCAACACTGCTGGGGTTGCAGGCTGAAGCTTTGGCCGGTCTATGATGATTTATAAGATCTTACTGGGGAGGCTAATATTCCTCTTGCGTTAGTCCGTTTGGTATTTATGTGTGTTGAGTCTGATAGAGCAATGATGCCTTTAGGTTTTTACATGTCTCCTGCCCCCTTCATGCCTTAGCCAACGTGTTGTTTGTCTTTGGGGCTTTGTCGGGAGATGGTTAAGGTCAATCCTCAAAGGTGTTGTTTTGTTTTGCACGATTGGACTAAATAATAAAAGGAGCAAAACAGCCGGATATTTCTTTTTTAAACGTTCTGATTTCGGCTTGATGTTTAAAGAGCGGTCAAATACATGCCCCCAGCCTGCCATTTCAACGTGGGCTGTACTGTGCAAACGCTGTACATTTAAAAATAAAATCCAGGCCAATAAGGACAAGGTAGACTCCTCCAGTGAGTAATATACAAGTTTGTGCACCATTAGGTAGCCTCACACACAGCTCCTGGAAGTGGTGCTATAACTCATTTACGAGGTTAAGGCAAAGAGAGAAAAGGAGAGAGGGACCAGCGGTGTTTCATTTTAAAACCCAATCCGCTGATCTTTTTGGAAATTGAAGTTAGAGATTAAGGACCCAACACTCTCCCTCACCCCATATTTGCCCAATTGTTCCGATGCCATCAGTGCGGCTATGTACAGAGTAAAGCGCTACTCAGTGGGAGTCAAAGTGGCAGAATCTGGCCTTACATTTTCGCACAAGAACGCGCCAGCGTTCGCTATTTGGGGACTGAGTGGGTAGTTTGTATGCGTTTGGGATTTTTTTTTCTCCCCTTTGGGTCTGCCTGGCATTTTGCATGTTATGGAGCAGAGTAATCCCATAACTTTTAAAGTTGTGCATTCAGAGCCTAGACCAAAGAGAAATCGCCCATTAAAGTGAAGTCGTTTATTCCGTGCTTTCACTCTGCGTGTGTATTTACACCTACAGATATCTATAGATATGGACGCACACTTTGAACTAATCCCTAAGAAAGTTCCCTGGAAAAATAGGTAGCAACTGTTCTGTTTATAACGTTTTGCTGCCTGTTCTCTTGCTAGGCATTCAAATATTACATTAATTATTGCTAATGCCTGTAACAATGTGGACTTCATTACAGTTCAGGGGATTTTTACCCACCTTCAGCTAACATCCATAGAAAAACTAGCTGCATTTTGTACACACATACATTGATGGATCTCTTTTTTGTTTTGTTTGATAAAGGCTGATTTTGAACTGGAGGGACATTACAGTTGTCTTGTCAGTTAGTATGATTTGAAAGTGAGTCTGTGTAGTGCTTTAGCATGCCCTCAGCAATCAGGCTTTAGACTCACGAGGCTTTGATTGTAGGAGTTGCCTTATTTGCATTGATGAGGATGAGCCAGCTGCTGGAGCATACAGAACTGCACCTGACACAATCACTGAGTTCAGGATTAGCACAGGGAATCAGGAATCCACTACGCTATATGGCAATCTCAGCCCTACATTAGAGTCACTCATGCAAAATGACCCAAATTTGCAATGAACACAATTAGCAATCCAAAAATGCATGTTAATTTAGGGGCTGACATTTTCTTGCGTTTTACTTATTAAATATAACGATTATGTGCAGTTTAGTATGCAAGGCTGAGAAAGAATATTAAGCTTCCCCCCCCCCCCAACCCTAATAAACATTCGAACTGTTAGATTCCCTCTTATATTTGGGAAGGCACTAAATTTTGTATTCTGCAATACAAAGGCTCTTTTTCTGTTATTTGCTTGCAATAATAAAATAAGGAACAACCGGTTTTTAAAGGATCATTTCAGATTTATAAGATAAAAATCCTTCTGTACAGTTTTCCTTCTGTGTTCAAAACCTACACACACTTAAATCACTCACTACTCTTCTTCATAACAGGAAGATGTTTCATCAAAGTTAAACTGAATGTGTTAGAGTCTAACAAAGTAGGGTTTTCTTCCCCACAAGATTGTTGAGTGTATATTATAAAGAAAAACCCGAGGTATGTTTCCCTAGGAATTTAGTGTAGGTAGGTATTGAAATTCTTACCTATGCTTTGAAAAAACATTTTGCAAAAATTGAATAAGTGATAATTCGGAGCAAAAGCTTGCAGTTCAAAAGCTAAAGCTCCCATTGGAGAACAGAAAATTTAATGAGCTTTTAATGGAATGCAATGCTCAGAGTAGTAAATTATTTGTTAGTTGACGATGCAATCAGCATGCTGATTAAGGTTGCTTGGTTTTTTACTAAACATTAACTGAATGAAAACGGTTAGTCCTTGTTGTTCTGCTTGGGGGGCTTTGGTGAAGCAAATGGACTTTCAGAACAGAGATTGTCAATAAAGGTGAGTGCACTCCAGGTGTCATTTGAATATGGTGATAAAATACTTCTGATAAATATTTAAAAGCATTTTAAATCCACAATGTTCGCCTAGTGTATTGTGAACTCTGTTTAAAGAAACAGTGGGCCTAGAAAGGCCTCAGGACAGATCCTGTTTCTTTCTCTAGATGTATAGATAGATTTTATATTTCATTGCTAATTTAAAAAAAAATTTACCTTCAAAATGCAAGTTTAAACATAAATATATGTCAATCATAGATTTTGTAGAAGTGAGCCTGCAATAGGGAAAAAAAATTACTAGGACCCTAAAGAATGACTATTCTCTCCCCAGAGTAGAAGAAAAAGTATAAATAAGCAATTTTAAATCTACCTGAATTTTATATGTAATAAAATAAATAACTGTGAAAATATTTAAAATTTTTGCTAAAAAGATGTTATTCTGAAGGAAACCCCATTTTTATATTTCAATTATATGTCTTCTTTTAGTGAAGGGGGGGGGAGTGGCATTAACACCACAATAGAGAGGCTGTTTATTGTTCTCTTATGTCTGTTGACTGTAAATATTTACTCCATTGAATTTTTAGACAAGTCTTAGATTGCATAGATCATTTCATGTATTGCCTGTGCTTCTGTTTTGAAACAATGTTCATCCTTTTGGTCATCTGTTTGCTTTGGTCTGTAGATTTATGAGAGACAAAGGGGAATTAAAAAAAAGAATTATAGACGAGGGGCTTTCCATTTTATGTTAACGATTACAAAGTTCTTCTATAAATCCCAATTAGTTTAATCATCGTGTTGTCCACTAATAATGATCAGGTACGCTTAAAATCCAATAAATAACTATCTATGTGTTTTAACTATTCCTGTTTATGACCCAAGAGGTTAAAAGCCTTTGACTGGCATTTGACTTCTGACCTCATATAAATGTTATCTTATCAGTTCCTGCTTGTTAGCTTGTATTGAGTGCTTGTCCCTGATGGCTTTTAGATAAAGGGGGTTTTATTATATTTCCTATTGAAACTGAACCATTTGCTTTGTTCTTAGTCTGTAGTTTCAGCCCACGTAGAAACCTTGTAACCTAACAGTTTTGCTGAATGGTCTAAAACCCAACTATTTACAGTTTATATTCAGTCTTATTAGTTCACTGGGCTGAATCTAATGATATTGTCATGTGGCCATTTTGTTTTGTTTTTATTAATCTTAAATGTAGATCCTACCTACAAACTGAGTTCTGAATATCAGAGATTTTTTTATAGAGAATTTAAAATAATTGTAGGTTTGGTCAAGGTGAGATGAGTTAATCATGTCTGGAAACCCAAATCTCAGCAGCTTAATGAAAGAGCCATTCGATATATTTTTAAATTATCAGATATATTATTTTAACACTCTATTTTATAAGCTTTTAAAAGAAAAGAATGGTGTAATGTTGCCCACGTCTTTCCTTGTGTACTGCATAATAAAGCCAGGATCTCTTTTTCTTGGCGTGTTTTTCTGTTGAACTGTGTGTGTCACACGTACACACGTATAGACTCGTATATATCGATATGATGACTGATAGATACAGTAGGCATTGCTACTGTCATATACATATGTAATGTGCACTTGTATTTATATATACCTAAATGTATTTAATACTTTTTATTATCATTACTTGCAGAGGTTTTGGGAGGCGGGGGGGGGGGGGCGGAAGGAGAACAGTTCTAGTTCCTCTATCTGATTTGCAAAAGAATAATGTATTGCTAAAGAATAGTTTAGATTGATTTTCCTGTAGAAATTGGACTATAATCATAGGGAAAGGATGAAAAGGCAGCCATCTTGTGGGTGTCATCTTGTACTTTTTATCCTTAATTCTTTTTCAGTCAGCCTTTCTTTGCCTGTGATATTGCCTTTCACCTTAATTAGTCTCGAAGATAATACATGATATATAAAATATATCTACATCATTCCTTATGCTAGAGGAAAAGTTGCCTTCCCCTTTGGCACTTCAAGCAATCACTGTCTAGTGGTTACAAGAAAACTACGTCTGCCTTAATATTTACTCATACATATGAATGAAACATCATTTTTGCATTGTGAGGATCTGTGTTGAAACGGATTTACAAAAAGCAAATATGTAAGCAAAATTTTATTCTTAGGAACAAGATTAATTTGTCTGCAAACTAATATGCAGATATACCACTCAAGAAATAGGAAATCTGCAGCATGCTCCCATTTCCAAATTAACTTTGGGGTTTCTGATTTTATGATACCTATTGCTGGATTAATTAGTTATTGTTTTAATTGTTAATACGTCCTGCGTTGGCACTGATCAGCATGAGTGCTGTCAGTGTAGACTGTATTGAGATCATATTTTAGTAAAAAGTATACTTACTCCCAATTCCAACTTTATATTTCAACTATTATATTTTTAATTTTGGACATAGGTTAAATATATCAAGTGCAAAAAGAAAAATATTCTAAAAAAATACTGGTTCCTATGTAAATTAAGATATGATCAAGTGTTACCTTCTGCCTTCATAAACAAAAATTCTGCATTCACTGATACGTTTTTGTTAAAGACGAAAACCAGAAATACTAGCTCAAAGTTATACCAGTAAATATGTGAGAAATAACAGGTGGAGATATTCATCAATGGAAAAAAATGTAGTCAGTGTTACAGTCATTTAACACGCAGACACTTTGGTTCAGTATAAATAGCCACAGAGCGTATTGATTATTGGCAATTTACAAATAAACTGTAAGAAGTAGCATGAAAAGTGTCGGTGGGTTGTTTGGAGACCTGCAAAAATATAGTGGAGATTAATTTTTAATTCTTCTTTCTAAAAACTAGGCTTGAAAAGCAAAACAAAATAGCAGCACTAATTAGTGTTTGTTTGTTCAGCCCTTTGTAAATGCAAAGCTCTGTCGAAGCGCTAAGTGTTATTAATAACTCTGAGTACACAGATAATTCGTGACTTTGGAGTTTTCAGAATAATAACATACACACAGAGTCTACTTTCCATCCTCCGGGGAACATAAACCAAACTTTTGTTCCTTCTATTTCGGGGGGATTTTTAGAAAGGTTTTGCAGACAGTAATTGCAGAGATCTATTTCCAAGAGGAAAAATAAATGCGGATTAGGAGGGAAACAATGATACTTCCCCCAAGTAACCACTTTCTAGTGTGTATTAATAGTGTAATAGACAAAAGTGACTTTTTACACTTTTACTTATCAGATAGTCCCTCTGCTTTGATATGGACCATACTCTAATGATACTTAACCATAGGGAAATGGTTTGTTTAATTTCTAGTGAATGTGGAATTAAAATAAATACGTTTCACATCTATATTTCATCTTATTCTGTTATGCCACTAAAAAGTCACGCTATTTCATCAGTACCAAAAACTGAGAAAGTGTAGGTCTAGACAGAACTCTTTAATTACTACTCTTACTGTGTTCTATTACATCCTCTATCATAGTACAAATATACAAAGAGAAATCCTTCAACTCTTTTTGTCTTCAAACACTAAATTTACTGTTCTAGAGATTGTTGTGCAGTGTTCTTGTAAACGTGTCAAACTTTGCAGTACGTTATGCGCTTGCTTTTTATTCATCAGCTATGGTATTAATTCATGTGGCAGGCTCTCCTCCTTTCTTTCTTGAATAGGAACAGAACACCCTACAACGGATTAATTTCCTTGTATGTATAAGGATAATTAACTCATTCTCTTCCTTTTAATGGTATTAGTATTAACGTTCTGTAGGATGCATGTGCATATTTCTCTGAATCTGTTCATATTCCGACTCCACGACCAAGATAGTCTCAACTAAGTTCAGATCGCTTATCTGATTGTCTCACTACTTACAAAAAAAGACAGTTATTTTCAGGTTATGCACCTTCCCCACCAAAGAGCCCCAGTTGCAATGCAGAGAGCTAACAAAACAGGTTTGTTTGTAAGTTGAACGTGCTGAACTTTCGAAAGCTGTAAAAAGCCGTTTGGCATAAAGTCCCCTAAATCAGACCTAAATCATTTTTCCGGCTAAAAGAGAGAGGAAAGTAGCTAGAGAGTCTGGTGAGACACGTAAATCTTGTCCTGGGCTTTGTTCGGGCTAGGGGTGAGGGGTTGCTTCTCAGTAACTCCCAGTGTATATAGTCAGTTATTTATGTCCTGGGCCCCCTGCAGTGGGTGCTACCTTGTTGTGTGTGCGAGTTGCTGCCACCCTTCCAAAACACCGCGCAGCTCGGGAAAAGTCAAGCACGGAAAAGTCCTGATTTTCATTTAAATAGTCAAAACCATGATGCATTTGGGCTATTATGATAGGACAGCTCCCATGAAAAGATTATTTGAACTACAAAGGCATTCATTTAGGCTCGCGATGCTGCAAAAGGGCCTGCTAGAAAATAGCAGCCTGTCCTGGTATTTGGAGAGCAAGAGTGACAACTTATTGGAAGTTCTCAAGGAATCATTTATATTTCACACTCCACTAGGCAGCTGATTTGAGATTGTCTGTTAGCATAACAAAGGCTCTGAGCCTGTGAACTTCAGAAACCTTTCGACCTCTTAGCTACTGGCATGAATAGCCCCCAGCCCTGCCTATAGAGATCTCCCAAAGCTCCCCTGTTCGTGGCTAAATTGTTAATCAGGGTAATTTAATATAGTTTTCAATATGCCCCATCTCTTATTGGGCAAGGTATTCACAGATTTCCCCCCTCCCGAAAAAAGTTCTCTTTCATTCAAGTGTGAGAGGGGCAGCTGCAGAGAGAACCCACCCCCACTCCCTTCGAGTCCCCCTTGAACTGCAACGTAGCCACCACGGTGGAGATCAGAAGGGAAATTCACAAGCAGCAGCAATCCCTTTCCCTGGACTCCAACCTGAACCTGAAATTCCCGACTGTTTACCCCCGCCTCCCCAGCCCTCCCTCCCAAACAGACACAACAAAAAACTCGGGTCCAGCCATAACTGAAGCAATTACACCGCCACAAGTTCACATACGCCACACCTCCCCTCTTCCCCACACAACG